CGATTAGAAAAAAAGAAATTGAAAATAATAGACAGATATTATTAAGAGGACGTCGCACCAAAACGTGTACGCGTGCAACGCTCCAGAGATAGCGTTGTTCGCCGTATTGTCGGTGGCGGCGGCTTTTAGCTCCACCCATGTTTCCGTGCACCGTGCGTTGCAGTGATGTGGTAGCTGGGAGCATGACGAGCATGTTATTATTATTCAATCGACCGCCGTAGCGCATAGATCCCGTAAAAGCCAATTTTGTATTAACGCGTTATCTGTGTGTACCAGGGGCACACTTGCATTGTAGTCATTAATATAAGTAATTGTATATTTAAAATTACTTCACTCATAAAAATTAATACGAGAGAAGTCAATCAAAGATTAAATAAAGAAAATAGATTCTTTAATTTTATGGATAGTATTGGTAGGTATACATAAAAAAAAAACATTTAAGATTTGGACTATTCAAACTTTATTAGTACCTATATAAATACACTCAAAAATTACATTACATAATTATTGCTATGCTTATAAGTTAAATAATTTTGTATCAGTTTGTCGGAAATAAAAATGTAGTATACGTAGGTACACAAACAGTAAACATAATTTATTACGTTTTTTTAAAAGAGTTTTTTTGAAATTTTCATTTGCTGCAAAATGTGTTTTGATTCCCTTATATCGGAAATCATAAGTCTATATTTATATACTGGATCCACAATTTCAGGCAGCATACATGTGAGATAAAACCTATATTAAAAACATTTAAAAATGTGTCATTAACATTTTATTATATTTTTCAAAGTATAGTTATTCTTACGTTTTTAACTTATCACACATGTTTATATTCCAGAAGTCAGCATCATATTTTATTTTTTGAACAGACATCCATTTTTCCGTCCATATTACAAAGAAACAATACTCTTTTTGCGTAATATGGAGTTGTCCTTGTATTTGGTAATAATAAATATGATTTTTTACTAACATCAATTCATTGTCATCGATAAAACAATATTTCAGCTATAAGTACATAAAAAAAAAATATGAAACTATTATTTTCATGAAGTAATAATATATGGTTTGAGAAAAAATGATAATGAAAGCAGCAATAATAATATATTTATAATTATTTGAATAAACCTACTTTTCCAGATGACACTGCTTCATACTTATTTGAAGTATCCTTTGCAGCATACGGACATTTAATTTCTATAATTGCATTATCGCCAACAATTCCGTCTAAATTATTTTTTAAAACATCAATAAAATAAAATAATACTCATACTCATGGATATGATTTTATTTAAATACTCGTTAAACTAACCTGGGCTAGCAGCTAAGTATGAAATATTTTTGTCAATAAAAAGACCACATTGTTCCACGGTAAGCCCCATAATATTTTGAAAAGCAGTTTTTGCTTGGTTCTCCATATCCCTACCATATTGAACAGATCTATTGAATAAAAGATTTAAAAATCAATAACTAACATAATATACCTATACAAAAATAAAAACTATATTATGATAAATATAAAAAAAAAATTGTATTTACTTGCTGTTAAATGTTTGATACAAAATCAAATACACAGCATTTTTACAGCTTGAGTTTCGGCGCATTTTGCAAATTCGACCAAAATTACTCGCTGTGAGTCTTTTCATTCTTTCTACCTTCCAAAGTTCACTCTCAGCCTGGTCTCTTGTATTTCTTTCAACCTCAGAATGATCAACTTCGTCTAATTTCCTTTGGAAAATAAAATAACATTTGATTGCTATATAAGTATACGTATGTCGTATATACTATATTGTAATTAGTACAGTTTATTGTTTGCAGAATTACTATTTACTTTACAAAAAGGTCCATGTCTTTGACGAATTCTGTATCGTCTATTGCTCTAATACCGTCTAATGGTTCAGCATTGCCATAGTGTCTATCGGGTTTACCACTTATTTTTGACCGTTTTATTCTCAATTTGAGTTTAGTTGCAGTTTTCCTTATTTTTTGGCAATTTAAACGTTTTTTAATTATGTTTTGTAAAAAAGACTTGCCAGTTTTCCCTATAAAAGTTAAATATTAAATAAATAAAAATAGATAGTAAATTTTTTTTTTAAAAATGTGTTATATGTAAGTACAATATATTTACCAGGACTTATATTTGTAACATGTTTTTTAACAGCTCTTATATATTCTTGAGAATTGAAACCAACCACTGCCGCTAGTATTCTTGTATTATACGAATGTCTTTGCGTATAATTTATTCTCTTTCCTCCTAAAAATTTGTTAATTACACTATTGAACTGCTCGCAAATGTTATTATCGACATCCAAAATGAGGCTTTTGGCATTATTTGCTAAACGAGAAATAATGATATCAATTTCCTTAACAATGGCTACATTTTCATATGGTCTGTCAACGGAGCTGCCTGATTTCTCACAAAAGTATGAAGCACATTTTTTATGAAAATCGAAAAGTCTATGATTTGGAGCATTGATTATATCATTTTTAAGACCTATTAAATATTGAAAAAGATACTTTATATTAAATTAGGTACACTATTCACTTTTAAGTGAATTAATTTTTGCTGAAATTATATATTTCATTCAATAACTACTATACAATTTTCAAATACACTAATTAGGTATTATTATATATATATAAGCTATAAGCACAAAATACATATAATATATTGGTTACCTAAAATTTTCAGTTGTAAAGGTTTTTCCTCTGATTTTCTAAATTGAATGGCTTTTGTTATGTCAGTTCTAAGACGTACAAGATTCTCTGAAATTTTTTTACGAATCCCAATAGGAAACTCTGTTCGTTTCGCAAGAGCAGACATTTTTTGCGAATAATTTCTCAACATATGATTTCTACATTCAATTTTCTCAACCCTTAAACCGGGCCCGTATGGTAGTATGTCATTCAACCTTTTTGTAACACTGCTATCACCGTCACCTAAAAAAACATGTACGTATAGGTATAACGTAAAACAACGATTTAGCCTCTAACTTTTTTTTAATATTTATTTTTATTCAAAGTTCCCGGTTTTTTAATTTAAGAATACATAATATATATTAAAAAATAAAATATATTTTCAAATGTATTAATTATTACTATTTATTATTGCTACAATGTTTATTACCAATTAATTTTGAATATTTTACTCCATGCATCTCAAAACTTTTTAGAAAACCTTCAGCTACTCCATCAGCCTCAATACTCGTAGCCCCTTGTTTCCAATTCATGAAACATACATGTATCGGTTTGTCAATTTGTTGATTTGATGCTCGTTCACAAATTACGCAATACCGATTTCGTATACCCACAAAAAGTATTTTTTTTGTTTTATAACCAATAATGCTTGCCTACAATATAGCATAAATTAATTACAAAATATATTTAGATCTAAATAAATCAGTTATTTATTTTAGTATTATTTCGTCTTACGACTCCAGAAAATGCATCGTATTTGGTTTTGTAGCTCCTTTTTGACCACTGTGCATCAGCTACGACTGTTATTAATGGTATACCATTACTATCAACCGAACCGGATTGTATCGCAAGTTTCCTCTCTTCATCTCCGGCCATCTTCATTGATGACCAAGCTGTATTTTTAATTTCCTCTTGTAGTACAGTCTCAATCGAATGATACGTATTTGACGACATGTATGGAATTTCTATACCTGCAGAAAATTCTACCAATTGGGTGTAGCCGATTCCTTTGGTATATATAAAGTGATATAAAATGTATTATTAATAAATTTCAGTTTTTTAGGTAAATATTTTACACACCAATTGAAATTGTACTATTCACAATTGATTTATTTGTTGACCAATTATTTTGTGGAGTTTCTTTGAATGTATTTATTTTTTTTTCTATATTACACATTTTACATTTAAATAAAAACTGTGAGGTATAGCCTTTACAACTTTCTGATATATATATTTCATATTTATAAAACTACATCCAAACATTCCATCGTGAGTGCTATCAAGTATTTGGCTAAAAATGTATCCAATATCAACAATTCTATTTCCAATTATTTGTTCGGTAGTTTCACTATATTAAGCAACATTAAAGAATATAAAATTAGGTACAATACTTGACATTATAGGTATGATAATATATAAAATTTACATGCAAGAGTGGTCTAACTCTGAGATTACCGACAGCTCGTGAGAATTAAAATTATCTTCCTGTTCTTTACTATACCTATGTATACAATATATATATATATAATATTAATTTTAACAAATACTCCATTATATAAATCTGTATATCAAATAAAATGTAGAATTTAAATTTTACTCAGAGGATGAACCCAAATCATTATCAACGATTGTATCAGATGCAGTCATTGAAGTTGAAATATCCATTTGTGCTGAACTATTATTAACCACACATGGGGTTACGTTCAAGTTATTCGATACACTACAGCAAAAAGATGGTTAATGTAACAAAAATCTAAAATTGTCTTGGGCGATTTCGCGCGTCATTTTACGAGTAAATTTCCAATTTCACCAATATTTTGGAATGAAGAAATAATGAAGAAATTGAAGAATGGAGTGATGAACGTATTGATTTTACAATGATGTGTTTTTTTTTTGCCTGGAGACAAAATTCACCAAATTTTCAACAACAAAATAACTTTTTGTGATTAAAACATATTTCATAAAAATTTGAACTTAATAAGTTAAAAAAACCGGAAACTCGCTCTGCTGTACATAAGGGGGTGGGGTGGACCTCGGACTAGAGTAGGTTAAATTTGAATGCAATGATAGGTATCATTGTATACGAAAAACGAAAAAGTATATTAATATTTACTATATAAATATAACAAAAATTTTACGCTTGAATTTTGATTTCGTGAAAATTTTAACACTCGTCATATTTTTTAAATTAGATGATTCTCAATTTTTTTTATGATTACTCTAAGCTTTACTTATGGACAACCTTGAATTAAATTTTCATTAAGTCTTAGCTTTAAATGAAAAATTTTTTATCTATTTTTAACTTCAAAATAATTAGCAAATATTCATGATTTTGACAAATTTTATAAAAAAAATTTTTAAAAAATCGAATATTTAAATTGCCTGTAAATAGATTAAAAATAACTGAAATATTTTGAAAATAAAATTATATAAAGAAAATGGCAATCTAAACATTAAACAAGTGGTAAGAGTTTCGAGTTTCTACGACTTATACTTTTTGAATAATAACAAATTTCAAAAATCAGTTTTCGATAAATCTTTATTTTACGCAATTTTGTAAAAATTTAAAATTCAAACTTTCATAAAAATTTTTTCTAAAATTACGCTCGAGTTTTTTTTTTACAGTTACTTGAAGAAAAACTTATTGAAAACCTTGTGTTGGAATTCTAAACCTTAGGTGTAAAAAGGAAAAAAATTATGAATTTTTAACTTCAAAATTACTTGCAAATTTTCGCGTTTTCGACAGATTTCGTAAAAATTTGAACTAAAAACGCTTATAAAAAAAAATTGTGACTAACGATTTTTAATTTTTTTTAGCTACATTAAAAACAACTCATAAGGAACCTTGTATTAAATTTTCAAAACTTTTTGGTCATCCAAAATTTTTTTATCGACACTTTAAAAAAAATTTCTCAAAAAAATCGAAAATTTCAGTGGTCTATAAATAACTCAAAAAAAGTCAAAATTTTTTGAAAATTTAACTATATACGGATACCACTGACATTAACATTTGGTGAAAATTTCAAGTATTTTCAGTGATTAGTTTTTGAATTACAACCATAAAAAAAAATCGATTTGGTCGAAAACTGGTTTTGCGTAAAAATTGCCGTTTTTCCGTCATTTTTTTTTTGTTTTTCTCGATTTTTTTGAAAACTGTTGGAAAATGTTAACTTTTTACCTCTATAATGCACCAAGGATATTCACTTTTACATCGGAAACCACCCCCATAGTTTGAAATTGGAGCATTATTTCGACTAGTTATGCTGTACACAGACACAAAAAAAAAAAAAAAAAAAAAAAAAAAAACACACATCATTGTAAAATCAATACATTCATCACTTCGTTCAGAATCTAACACACATCATTGTAAAATCAATACATTTATAGAATCCAAAATATTTTACCTTACATGAGAACATCAAATTGTGTACATTTTATAATTTATAAAATTAATAATTATAATAATAATGTTTCAAATGAAGTCCAATTAGAAAATAATAAAAATTACTTACGATTTCTTCTTTTTTAAATTATTTAAAAGTTTACGTTTCCCAACAGGCCTTTTTTTGGCACGAAACTTTTTTGGGGACATTTTAAAAATTAACACAAGCTCACAAAATATGACACAATGTTGATTGTCAACTGTTAAAACATTACTGATAATATGATATTTTGCAAAACAGTAATTTGTTTAGGTGTGTATAATAAATTATTCTCAGTGTAATTTAACTTTTAGTCTATTATAGAACTATTATTATTTATGGGTTGGTGTTGTGGGGGGGTCTTAAATTGTATCATAATTCATATATGATCATTATTTATATTATAATTATAGAACTTTTATATTCGTCTAGCCATACACGCTGCAGCAATCACGTTCCGTAGCTAGACGTCTTATTTCATCGTAACTATTCGTGGAAATTATTACAGACGCACTAATTACCGATAA